TTGATTGGAAACAATGCAACGTTGCTGGTACCTGGAAATGCTTTTGCATTCTAAGGGGAATCCCTTTTGAAGATTTGAGTTTCCTTCGCTCACAAGGGTGTATTAAAAAAACAGTTCATTCCGCATTTCTCTTGTTGTTATGTTGAAGGGAGCTGGTATTGCATGGGTTTGCAACACAGTTGTTCTGCTCCTTCATTTCGAAGAATGTTCACCGCTTTGTCTGCATCGACCTTTGCATTTCCTGTTCGTTTACCTCTCTCGCTCCAATGTGGTGTGCTGTATTTTTTTTTGGTTTTATTTTTTTAGGAAACGAAGGCGGACGGATGGATTGGACGTTCGATACGCACGAACCATGACGCATAACTTTGTTGCCACGAACATTCAACAAACAATGAGAGATGAAACCGTACCCGTCGTGCATGCGTTTTCCAAAAAAATAAACAAGTGATGGATGGAATGAAAACAGAAGACCACGCATCGTTGCAAAGATAAAAAAGAACACCCATATGGATATTCGTTGCGCTACCAATGCACACCTTCTACTACGCATGCCACCTCTGAACAGTGGCATGCCGAAATCCAATGAACAAAAAAAGTTGCCAATAAAAAGACTTCCACATGGCGTCCTGCCCCGAACACAGTCATCAGCGAGATCACAAAACAACACTTGTACGACGTCGTTCGTCATCTTTTCCTCCACCACAGCCTCCTCCACAACGTCTCGCGCACTGCCAGCGGGCACGGCTTGGACGACCTTCCTCATCGTTCGTCATCTCTTCCTCCACCACAGCCTCCTCCACAATGTCTCGCGCACTGCCAGCGGGCACGGCTTGGACGACCTTCCTCTGCCTCTTCGCGTGATGCCGTCCCTTCTTTGCGGGGGCCGCGCCTTCCACGATCTACTTCAAGGCAGCCTTCCCCTGTCCACCTCCGCGGAAAGACATGGCGGATCCGACAAAAGCGCCTTCGATCGCGGTCGGTGGTTCGCAGAACTTGCGGACGAGTACACCGCGCGGCGGCTGGATGATTGCAGGGCGGCGAGAATGGAAGACAGAGAATGGAACACACGGCTATGATCACACGGATGGATTACAGGGTGGCGAATGACGGACAGGGCGACGACGAATGACGGCAAGGGCGACGACGACGAATAGCGGCAGGACGAACGACGGCAACGGCGGCGACGACGAATGAAGGCAGGTGACGACAGGGCGACAACGACGAATGACGGCAAGACGATTGGCGGACGGCAGAGATGGTAGACAGCGCGCGTCGCAGATGGGTATGTGGTCGACGACGATAGTGCCCGTTAACGAAGTTGCGCGGCAGGAGCAGGCGGCGGCACAACAACGCGCGAAAGGCAGACAAGAGCGCGGCAAGAAAGCAGTCCACTGCAGTGCTCGCAATCCATGTGCGCGCTCGAAATGTGTTTGGGGATGAGTGGCCCGTGCTCGTGATTTATTGAGCGCGGTGGACGGTGGCTGGGAGTGATGCCACGGCGACCTTTCGATGAAAGTGCCACGAGTACTCCCGCCGAACGACGATGGCCTGGAGCACACTGTCGACGGGGAGTGGGAGTGCGATGTGACACCCTCCATCCACGCAGGCTTCAAAATAATGGATATCCCCGTGGACAATCGAAAGGGACCCTGCCCCCCACCGCGTCATCGAGGACCGCCCGCCCCCCCCA